GTTGGGTGACTTTAGGCCAATCACCAGAAGACAGTGAGTTCTAGTTCTGCCTTAGCCATGAAAGCCAGCTGGCTGCCGGCGAACCACAACAGTAACTTTGAACATTCACTAAATGCAGTGTTGTTAAGTCGAGGACTACCTGTAATGTCAAACGGCCTCCAAATGAAAGGTCGCAATTCAAGGACTGCTTACATTGGCCGTGAACCTTTTACCAGTTCCAAAGCAGGCACCGAAAGCCTGGGGGCTCCAAAATCTAGGCTGGCCCTGACCAAGCGTTTCCACCCAAGAAGGATAAAGGAAGAAGGAAACCTTTGAGCTTCTGCTTGCTCTCAGCCAGCTGCATGGTGGAACTGAACTTCTCCAGATCTTGGCTTTCGTCGCAGTGCATGATAGAGAACAGCTTCCAAAGCATGTTGCTGGACACTGTCCCGTAAGGCATCTCGGACATGAAGAGCCAGACTCCTAGTCTGCAGGGGGATTGAAAGCCAACAAGGAAACACTGGTTTATTACAAAAACCTCTAATAAAGGCTGCATAAACAGAGGGATAGAATCAAGATCGTGTGAAGTGTTAATACATTATTATTATTATTTTATTTTATTTTTAAAACAAGTTTTATTAATTTTTAAAACACACAAATTGTCATTATTCATTACATGTTTAAACCTTTTTTCATTGTCAATTTAACAAGTCAGATAAATTATAATTCTGTTTTAAACCATTTCCATACAACATACCAAAACCTCTTATTCAATTTCTCTTTACTTCTCTTTACTCTTATTCAATATCATTATTATTATTTCATCTGTTTCTTTCTGACTTAGTTACCATTATTCTCAATCTATATTTCTACAATTTTTAACTAATTCTCCCCCCAAAAAGACATATACACACAACACACAAAACATAAAAAAAAATCTTTTTGGAAAGTAACTTGGACCCAGGTGTCTCTCTCTTCATGGACTTCAATTATATTCATGCTCATCTTACATATCATTACTTATTTTATTTACCATTCTAGGCCTTCTATATTAACTTCCCCACATATTTCACACTTCTTACTTCTATCTTAATTAATCATCTTAATTTGAATCATTATATTTATATCTTTTGTCCATTTTTTATCATCCCTTTGTCTCATTCCTTATAAAAAAAAAAGAAAATAAGTTTCTCCTGAAATCATTAATCAGAGTATGATGCCTTTCTATCTCCCCCCTAAGTTAATCAAATTAATCTTTAAAATAATATCTAATACCCAATCCGATTTTGCTTGGTACATTCTATCTAACTAATACATCCAACATAATTAAGTACATAATTAGACAATAAATCCAAATATTAAAAAAAGATACTATAATAAAAATTTTATAATAACATCAATACCATAGTCTTATTAAACTCTTTAATTAAAACAATATTCTAAACCTCCCCTATTATTAGGTTTTAAAGCCAATCATTTTTAAACATTTTAACATTTTAATCTCTTATCAACTCTTAAATCATTACAATACTACCATCTCATCTTATGTACCTTGCAAAATCTTTTTTTTTTAAAAAAATTATACTTTATCCATTATCCAAAAAAAATTTCTTTTTTTCATTTAATTTCAAAACATTGTAGCTTTTCTCCACCTTTTCCCTTTCTTTCTTCTCCCAACAAACCTTTCTACCCCCCCTTCTTCTAGCCTCTGCCTTGCCAGCTTCCCTTCTCTGTCGTATTCCTTTTCCCTTTTGTTTACTATCATCATATTGGTTTTGCACCTTATTTTTCCCTTTCTTAAATGTTTTTTTAGATCTTAAGTCCTTAAGTCCTTTAATTTTCTTCTTTTCTCTTCTTTTCTTTTCTTTCTCTCTTCCTTCTTTCTGGATCAAGTTCTGAGATTCATTAAAAATGGCTCCTTTCTTTCTTTCTTGTTCCTCTGCTGTCTTCATCTGTTGTAATGTTTATTGATAATTAATAAGCGCCATTTCTAAGAAAAGGAAAGCTTCTTCCACACCATCTTTACCATTTTTTTTTGCTTGTTCATATTCTTTTCTTAGTTCCTCAACAGAAAGAGCCATTATAAATCTTTTCTTTTCTTTTCCCCTTCTTTCTTCTTACAACAACCAGAATATTCAAAAGAAAATAAAAAAAATAAAACAGTCCCAAAGTTATCAGTCAGTCCAAACCAAGGCAGAGTTCTCACTTTCTCCTTCTGGGGTAATATCAATCCAAGAGAAAGAAAGTCCAAATCTGTTTAAAATCTTATTGCAATATATTCTAGTCTTCAAATCCTTAAGGCATCTGCTCCAACAAAGTCTTAGCATACAAATGTTTTCTTTTTAATCCTCTCTCTTCCCACTCATCGCTTAAAACCAATTTTCACCTAAAAGAAATAGGTTTCTTAATATCCAGTTATTTATTCCGTAGGAAAAGAGGGAAAGCTATCCTTTCAGCACCTTCAAACAGCCGCTTTTTTCCTCTTCTGGCAGGTATTATTCAGAAAGTCATACTTTTCAGGAATTTTATTAAATATGTCTTAGAGTCCTAGGAGCCAAGAAAAACTTTCTCCTCTCAATCACTTTCTCCACTTCCTCCTGCGCATTCTTACCCGGCTGCCAGCTTCTTTGTGGCGGCCATTACAGACCGCCGCTGCACCGTCCTGGGAAAAGGGAGTTCTGCCGGCCAGGGAGGGAGTCTGCAGCACCCCCAAACCCTTCTCCGGATCCCCCCTACCTTCAGCTGCCCCTGCAGGGCAGCCTAGCTCCGTACCCGGCTGGGTCGGAGCCCCAAAAACGGCTAGCGCGGCAGGGATCGCGCAGCTTCGCAAATCCCTGCCGCTCGCGAAGCCGACAAACCGGAAGTCCAATACATTATTATTATTATTATTAATGCCTTGGTAAGGCCCCACTTGGAAAAGTGCATCCAGTTTTGGTCACCATGATGTAAAAAAGATGTGGAGACTCTAGAAAGAGTGCAGAGAAGAGTATCCAAGAGGATTGGGGGACTGGAGACTGAAACATATGAAGAACGGTTGCAGGAACTGGACATGTCTAGTCTAATGAAAAGAAGGACTAGGGGAGATATGATAGCAGACTTCCAATATCTCAGGGGCTGCCACAAAGAAGAGGGAGTCAAGCTATTCTCCAAAGCACTTGAAGGCAGAACAAGAAGCAACGGATGGAAACTAACCAAGGAGAGAAGCAACTTGGAAATAAGGAGAAACTTCCTGAGAATTAGAACAATTAACCAGTGGAACAGCTTGCTTCCAGAAGTTCTGGGTGCTCCAACCCTGGAGGTTTTCAAGAAGAGATTGGACAACCATTTGTCTGAAATGGTATAGGGTTTCCTGCCTGAGCAGGGGGTTGGACTAGAAGACCTCCAAGGTCCCTTCCAACTCTCCTATCCTACCCTATCTTATCCTATCCTACTCTACTCCATTTCATATTTTCTATTCCATCCCATTCCATATATTCTGTTCTGTTCTGTTTTAATTCTATTCTAATTCTATTCCAATTCCGATTCTATTCTAATTCTATTCCAATTCTATTCCAATTCCAATTCTGATTCTATTCTAATTCTAATTCTAATTCTATTCTAATTCTAATTCTAATTCTAATTCTATTCTAATTCTAATTCTATTCTAATTCTATTTTAATTCTGTTCTAATTCTAATTCTATTCTAATTCTAATTCTATTCTAATTCTAATTCTAATTCTATTCTAATTCTATTCCAATTCCAATTCTGATTCTATTCTAACTCTATTCTATTCTAATTCTATTTTAATTCTAATTCTATTCTATTCTAATTCTAATTCTAATTCTATTCTAATTCTAATTCTATTTTAATTCTAATTCTATTTTAATTCTAATTCTATTCTAATTCTAATTCTATTCTAATTCTATTTTAATTCTATTCTAATTCTAATTCTAATTCTAATTCTAATTCTAATTCTAATTCTATTCTAATTCTAATTCTAACTTCTTGCTGTAATTTCCCCAGCATGGATGATTTCCTCCCACTGCCTAGTAACATTCTGCCCCAGACTGGAATCAGCATGGTTCCACACAACAACAAAATCCACTCCTGCCAACCTTTTCGCTTTCAGGACATGGAGCACAGCCCTCAGGAAAAACTCGTCGAATTCCACTTGCAGCTTCTTCAAGGAATACGGCTGCATCACGGGGCCAGCCTCCTTGGCCTGGCTGACAAACTGGGCCCAATGATCACTCACGAAGCACAAGGTCATCCTGTTAGATTATTGAGAGAGACAGAGAAAAGAGAAGTTCAGTTGAACTGTTGGGGCTCTCTGAGCTTGGTGGTTTTCTTGCAGACGTTTCACGACCCATCACCTGTGAGTTTGGGGTTTGTTTAAGGAACTAGAGAGCCAGTTTGGTCCAATGTTTAAGGCACCAAGCTACAAAGTGGGGGACGGTGAGTTCTAGTCCCGCCTTAGGCAGGAAAGCCACCTGGGTGACTTTGGGCCAATCACCGGGAGAGTCCTGCCTTAGGCATGAAAACCAGCTCGATGACCTCAGGCCAATCACCACGAGACAGTGAGTTCTAGCCCCGCTTTAGGCATGAAAGCCATCTGGGTGACTTTGGGCCAATCACCAGGAGACAGTGAGTTCTAGCCCCGCTTTAGGCATGAAAGCCAGCTGGGTGACTTTGGGCCAATCACCAGGAGATTGTGAGTTCTAGCCCTGCCTTAGGCATGAAAGCCATCTGGGTGACTTTGGGCCAATCACCTGGAGATTGTGAGTTCTAGCCCCGCTTTAGGCATGAAAGCCAGCATGGTGACCTTGGGCCAATCACCTGGAGACTGTGAGTTCTAGCCCCGCTTTAGGCATGAAAGCCATCTGGGTGACTTTGGGCCAATCACCAGGAGACTGTGAGTTCTAGTCCTGCCTTAGCCATGAAAGCCAGCATGGTGACCTTGGGCCAATCACCTGGAGACTGTGAGTTCTAGTCCTGCCTTAGCCATGAAAGCCAGCTAGGTGACTTTGGGCCAATCACCAGGAGACTGTGAGTTCTAGTCCCATCTTAGGCAGGAAAGCCAGCTGGGTGATTTTGGACCAGCCTTTCTCTCTCAGCCTAACTCATGCAAATGGAGCACAGGCACATGCCAGCTGCTCACACGAGTGAGGATGTGCATGTGTGCACATATGCTCCCCAGCTATTTCCGCAGCCCAGCTGCAAAAACTCCAGGGCCCACAGGTTGGGAAATCCTGCACTATACCAAACACAGATAAAGGTAACTTGTCCGGTCATGTCCAACTCTAGAGGGTGGTGCTCATTCTCCATTTCCCACCTGAGGGAGCCAGTGTTGTCTGAAGATGCTTCCGTTGGACATACAGCCAGCATGACTCTATGCCAAAGGCACATAGAATGCTGTTATCTTCCCACCGGAGTGGTACCCATTTACTGTTATCTTCCCACCGGAGTGGTACCCATCTACTTGCACTTGCATGCTTTCGAACTGCTAGGTGGCCAGAAGCTGCAGCAAGGAATGGGAACTCATCCTTCCGCACAGCGCTCGGGTCTTGAACCTGGGTTGTCAAGCTTTACAGCTGACAAGCTCAATGTCTTTAATCACTGAGCCGTCAGACCCATGAAACATAGAAAACCGATAGCAAGAAAAGAGATCTAGTGGTCCTTTGAGTTTGTCCTTTGTTTTCTTCTTAATTAATTTATTTATTTATTAATTTACTCGTATGAGCCCAACAATTCAGTTAGGGGTTTCATTTTGCTGTCCTAATCGTGCTCCTTTACCTGGCTCTGCCCATGATGGAAAGTGGACAGCAGCTCCTCACCTGATGAGATGGCCGATCCGTTTCACAAACTGCCTGTAACGGGCTCGGTTGAAGGTTTCCAGCCCCACAGCAAGAAGATTCACGACAGAATTGGCGAAGGTAAGTACCTTCATCATCTCTTGGGAAGTTGTTTTCTCGGAGACGTAGCTGCCTGCTCACAGGAAAGCATTTCAGAATGGAAATGGCAAATTAGTGCACAAGCTACAGCCAAAGGCAGGGAGAAGAAAGGAAAATTTTCTTACGTATTTAAATTTATATGCCACCCCTTTCACTGCCAGGTGAAAGGGCAGCTTATAACATTATAAAATGCAAATAACATGCATTAAAACATCAGATGTTATAGCATTAGATAAGTCAGCAGCCCGTAGGAAGAGGAGTGTGGAAGAACTGGGGTTGGAGTTAAAAGAGAAATCGGCCTAGAATCCCTACGACACCACAACGGTTTAAGGCCAAGCTCCCCAGAATTGTGTTGAAATTTTGTTAACTTCAAACAAGTGCTAACTGTTAGTTGAGAGGATTCCTACGCACAGGCATGATTACCAGTGGTGGAATTCAAAATATTTTACTACTGGGTTCTGTAGGTATGCGCTTTGTGTGCGCATGGAGTGTTCTAAAATGGGAAATTTTAAGCATGAAAACTTACTGTCACACTGGTGAGGAAAACAGCTGAGGCATGGCAATCTGCTCTGCCACGCCTATCAGCTGAGCTACAAACAAAGTGTCAGCCTTCAAGATCTTTTCTAGTGCTTTGCATCTTTTGGCTGCCATAAGTAACAGTGGGGGGGGGGATATGTCTGGAAAGAGAGCTGGAGGTGTTACATTCTTGTGTTGTATAAATGAGGAGTGGGGGGGGGAGTATAAATTCCTGCTCTTAAGTTTCTATTCCTTGCTTAGCCTTCTTTTCTCTGCGCAACTGCAAATCTTTATCAAAATATGTCAAGGTCAACGGACAGAGGCCTCATCACCACCTGAAGATGCCCACATGACCATATCCAGAACTTTTAATTGGAAGGATCTTTTGAACTTTGGGGGGTGGGAACAATTCCATCACTTTGTATATGTGATTTGCGCGCCTAATTTCTCAGATTCAGAATTTTATCTGAAGCTACCACTTCAATCTTCAGTAAAAGATTTCTTTTCTCTAATCTATGGAGTCTAAGTATTTCTTTCTTGGATTTTGAATGAAGCACAGACTGACACAAAGGAAATATAGGACAGGAAAGGGCGGGTGGGCAGGGCCAACTGCTAAACGGTGCTACCGGATCTCTACAACCGGTGCAAACCGGCAGCATACCACCGATTACCAATAAATCAATTTAATTGGACCATGGGTGGACCTGTTCTTTCACACTTGAGAGCGCCAAAATACAATGTGTTAGAGATGAGATCTTCTTCAGAGTCCACTAACAACTTCCAACATGGCATGGGCCCATCGGAGCCCCAAACCAATTGGCACAGCGAAGTCTGTAGACCCTTCGCGAAGGCCTGACATTCTTGGCCTAAGCCACAAATTCAGTCTCTTTATTATTATATCTTTTTTTTATTATTTATAAAATGTATTGGCTGCCCATCTTGCCACAAAGTAACTCTGGGTGGCTTACAGGCCTCTTGTAACCCTGGAAGTTATTTTTGTTCCAGTCGTGCATTTGTTCCTTCAATGTTAGCTTTCTGCACAATAATTTCTTGTGGGTTATTTTCAAGAGTGCTTAGCATGAACACTTTCAGGGTCCTGTTGAAAACTCATCAAAGGCTACCTATGTGTAAATACTAAAGTAAAGGTAAAAATTTCCCCTGTTCAGTCGTGTCCGATGCTAAGGGATAGTGCTGATCTCATCAAGGGAGTCAGCTTCGTTGAAAAGACACATCCATGGTCATATTGGAGTAGGGAAAGATGGCGCCTTTATGATGTATGGACTTCAACTCCCAGAATTCCTGAGCCAGAATGGCTGGCTTAGGAATTCTGGGAATTGAAGTACACACGTCATAAAGAGGCCAGTTTCCCCCATGCTGGCTCAGGAATTCTGGGAGTTGAAGTCCACAAGTCATAAAGAGACCATAATTCCCACATTCTGGCTCAGGAATTCTGGGAGTTGAAGTCCACACGTCATAAAGAGACCATAGTTCTCCCATGCTGGCTCAGGAATTCTGGGAGTTGAAGTCCACAAGTCATCAAGTGGCCATCGTTCCAAACCTCTGTATGCCCAGGCACACGGAACACTGTTATGTTAAGAGGAAGCTATGTTTTCCCCTTCTCCCTTTTATTTTTTAATGTACTGTATTCCTCCACACACACAGACCTCAACAAATAAACACACTGAAGTCTTCATACAATGCAGAGTCAAATACAACATTGCAAGCATCAAAGGGAAAGAAAAAGCGCTTAAAATCAGACAGAGAAACTTTGGCTGGACTAAATCTCATGAGGTCTACGTTCCTGAATGAATTCTGCTGAAAAGGCAGCCGTTGCTCATGTTAACTGAATTTTTAAAAACCTCCTCAAAAAAAAGAATTCCCTTTATAGAGTCGCTCACCTTCAGCATCAAAGCCCAGCATGTGCTGGAAGAGTTCGTGGAAGGGGAACTGAGACAAAAGAGCGACCAGGTCATCTTCCAGAAGGAGAACCCAGCTCGTTTCAGGATCTTCATCCTGGGTTAGAAAGAAACCTGAATCAAGGACTGGCATTTCGTACTCCTGAGCTGGTTTCGTATAGTGGTGAAGGCGCTAAGCTAAAACTTGGAGACGGGAATTTCTAGTCTTACCCTAGGTACGAAACCTAGCTGTATGACTTTGGGCCGATGTCAGCCCTGCCTCACCTCGAACCTTTAAGTAAGAAAGATCCTCGACTACATTTGGTGGAAAAGGTATATTTTACTAAAGGTCAAGCAGACTGCAAATAAAGCAAAGCCGGATCTGAGGTCCGCGCGCCAAATTCCCCAGCGTGTTCCCCCTCCCTTCCCAAGACTCTCTCTGCCTTTGGCCCCTGATTCTCTAATCAAACTCAAACCAGATGTTGTTGATATGCGGCTACATTTCTCCTCCGTTGTGTCTCCGCCAGCATGGTAAAGAATGGAGCCTTCTTCTCACCTCCCATTCGTTTACCTTCCACACACACACACACACACCTACCTGAGAGCTCATGGTGGGCTGGCACCAAAACAAAAGTATAACACAGGTGTGAGGTTGCAGTCCTGGCAGCCAGCCACTCCCTCTCAGCCCTAGGAAGGAGGCAATGGAAAACCGCTTCCGAAAAACCTGGCCAAGAAAACTGCAGAGTCTCGTCTGGGCAGTCATCTAGAGTTAACACTCACTCAAAACACAAACACACCCTCAGATTGAGCACTAGTACTGGTTAAGGGAGAAAGGGTTAGCCTCTCCAATATTTCTCTAGGACAGGAGTCGCCAACCTTTTGGATCTCAGGGACCACCAAACTCATAATTTTAAATCCCAGGGACCACTAACCGGTTCTGTGGACGTGGCCTAATTTGTAGGTGTGACTATGTGGTCATGTGACTGGCCGGGCATCGCTTGTAAGTAAGTATTATAAATATTTATACAAATATTTTATTAAAAAAGAGCAACTTTTTCCCAAAATTAGGCAAAGCAGGCAGGTAGATTGAGTTGCTTACAGAATCACAGTTTCATTCAAAGATCTATCTATCTGCCATCGGCTATCTCAGTCTGTCAGATAAAATTTGCTGGCAAGCAAACTCACAAAATTAACTCACAACACACCATCTATGTAAATATTGAATTTTTTTATTAAAAAAGAGCAACTTTTACCCAAAATGAGGCAAAGCAGGCAGGCAGATTGAGTTGCTCACAGAATCATTCAGTGATCTATCTATCTGCCATCGGCTAGCTCAGTCTCTCAAATTTGCTTGCCATGAGTCTGCACTGAATAACAGAATCTTCAGTCCTAAGGGAGGTTTGGCTGCGCTTAAAAGCAGAGCCAAAGATCTAAAGACTAGCTAGAAAGCAAGAAATCCAACCATTTCCTGCTTCCTTAGCTATTCTAAATCTCCCGGTCGGAAAAATGAAAAATAGCAATTTAGCAGGCAAGTTTGCTGGGTAAGGAGTGAGTGGGTGGGGAGGGTTCCGGCGGACCATGTGGGTGGCGCAGCCTTGTCTTTCTATGCAGCCTGGATTAATTGCTTTGGGGGGGGGGTGCTCTGGGGGTGAGATTTCTCTGCGGCCCACCAAAATTTTCTCACGGCCCACCAGTTGGCGACCGCTACTCTAGACTGTAATATCGCAACTGAGGGCCAGACAGCAACTCCAATGGAACCCATCTTACAGATAGTCCTTGACTTACAATAGTTCATTTAGTGACCATCCAAAGTTACAATGGCACTTAAAAAAGGGACTTATGACCATTTTTCACAGTTACAGCCATTGCAGCATCCCCCTGATCTACATTTGGATGCTTGGCAACTGACTCACACTTATGACAGTTGCAATGTCCCGGGGTCAGGTGATCCCCTTTTGCGACCTTCTGACAAGAAAAGTCAAAGATTCAACTAACAACCGGGTTACTAACTTATCAACTGCAGTGATTCACTTAACAAAAGCAGGAAGGGAAGGCGTAAAATGAGGCAAAACTCACTAGGTGATAAATTTGCCATCACTTAGCCACAGAAATACTAACTGTATTCCATTGGAGAATGATAATAACCTCACTGTGTTTCCTATTATAGTGTTCATACTAGTATTCTTAACAATAAAGCCAAGTTGCAACAAACTTCTCTGCCCATCTAGCTGGAAAACTAAACCCAAAACTAACCATAAAGGCTCGAGAGAAATCTACAGTGAGTCAAGGGACGTTAAAATCCTCTTTTCAAAATACCTCTTCTCCGCCTTCATCTACTAAAGTCCAGTTTCCAGATTCGGCCCCCGGTGACGAAGGCCTTCGTTCGCTCGGCTTCATGTGGCACATAAATTCCGCTCGATTTCTGCAGGATATAAAGCATGGCGGGCTTTAAAAAGTAGGGAGGGGAAAAAGTTCCATTTTCTTTTGTTGCTATATGAGAATGGATTGACCCACCTTATCGTGACCTCTCTGCCGAACGCTCCCCATAATGGAACATTAAAACGCGGGAGCTTGCTTTATTTATTTTTTTGACTCCGTGAACTTTTGAAATTTCAGGCAACACAAACATGGCTTACAACTGTAATGAACCCTGACAGTTACGGTCATAAGTTGTGATGGTTGTAAACTTGGATCGCCCATGTGGCCAACTCAATTTTATGACCAGTTTTGTGGCGGTTAAGTGAAAGCTGTGGGGGTGGTTGTTTAATTGTTTGGGCTGGTTTTGCCCCATAACCAGAAATAAATCAGAAATAAATAAATAAAATGCTGTCATCCCGCCAGACTACTAACAACTCAGTTCCGAAATTCTGATGGCCGCTCCCCACGCATGGAGAGAGAAAAAGAGAAAAAGAGAGAGAAAGAAAGAGAGAGAGAGAGAAAGAGAAAGGGGGGAAGAAAGAGGGGAAGAGAGAGAGAGACTGATAGATTAGATAGGATAGATAGGAAAGAGAGAAAAAGAGAAAGAGAAAGAAAAAGAAAAAAAGAAAGAGAAAGAGAAAGAGGGAGAAGGGAAAAGAGACAGAGAAAGAAAGAGACAGAGAGAGAGAGACTGATAGATTAGATAGGATAAATAAGAGAGAGAGAGAGAGAGAGAAAGAGAAAGAGAAAGAGAAAGAGAAAGAGAAAGAGAAAGAGAAAGAGGGGGGAAAGAGAAAGAAGAAAAAAGAGAGATAGAGAAAGAGAGAGACAGATAGATAGGGTAGATAGAAGAGAGAGATAAAAGGTTGATAGAAACAGGCAGACAGAGAGAGAGAGATGGATAAAAATAGACAGCAAAAGGTTGATAGAAATAGAGACTGAGACAGACACACAGACAGACGGATAGATGCACACAGACTGTTGAGTGCGCGACATGCAAACGTGTCACCACGGAGGGGGGTGGCCGTCAGAACTTCAAGGCCAAGTCGTAAATCCACCTGGGGAAGTCCCACTGAAACTTGAAATGGCCGATAAGCAACCAGTCGTACGTTGAGTACTAGCTATGTTAGATGTTGATAAATCTACAGCAGGGGTGTCAAACTCACATCGTCAGAGTCACCACGTGACTTTTTCCCCTTCGCTAAACCAGGCAGAGGCGTGGCCAGCGCATGATGCATCCAGCCTGCGAGTTTGACAACCCTGAGCTACAGGTTCTCAAACAGGTGGAAGACCTGAGTCAGCAACGTGAAGTTTTACCCTACCGTTGTCTACGTGAATTACACAAAATGGAATTCTTGTTCAGAGATTTCCTATTATCCAGGTGATTTTTTATTATTATTATTATTTATTCACCAACACAACAAACTCAAGTCAACCGAGAGAAGGCAGCTTTTCCTAACACTGGGATACTTGGCCTCTTCACAGGGAGATTGTCAACTCATAAAATATTTATGTGGTCTTTTAGAGCTGCCAACAGAAAGGGAGGGGGAAGCAGTGAGCTGCTTGCATTCCATAAATGTTTTCAAAGGTAGTTTCTAGGTGACCGAGGTTTCTGTCGTGCAAAATTCTAACTGGAGAGCTTGATTGATGACTCTTGGCTATGGAGGTGTCCCATTGGAGAATATGAATCATGATACACCCAGGCAATGCCGCATTTTTAAACTCCCAATAAATCCTTTTGGAGTTTGGCTAGAGACTCATGATTTAAATGGGATTAAGCATCAGAATCCTGACAGCTAGCCAACTCTGACATACATAATTCATTGACCCTGGTTTTCCCCCATCCCCTAGGTGAATTTGTGTGTGTATGTGTGTGTGTGTTGTACAGGTCACATTCAAGAAGTGAGAGGAGCCGAATGTCAACTCATAAAATATTTCTGTGGTCTTTTAGAGTTGCCAACAGAAAGCGAGGGGGAAGTAGTGGGGAGCTCGCATTCCATAAATGTTTTCAAAGATAGTTTCTGGGTGACCGAGGTTTCTTCCGTGCAAAATTCTAACTGGAGAGCATGATTAATGACTGTTGGCTATGGATGTGTCCCATTGGAGAATAGGAATTACGATATACCCAGGCAATGCTGCATTTTTTAACTCCCAATAAATCCTTTTGGAGTTTGGAAGTGTCGGAATCCTGAACAGAGAGAGGTTAGGAAAAGAGCTTCAGGTTGTTTAAATTCCCCAATCAAATACAAACTACATTTTCCCCATAACCACCGGCTCCCACATCCACCCCACCCAGCTGCCTCTTTGCTTCGCTTTTATAGCCAGCTGCTGCTGGGCTGGCTAGGGAGGGGTCTTAAAGGGACAGGGCACCCCCAGCCTTCGTGCTGGTCACTGTGCAGGCAGCTTGTCTAGGATGCACCACTTTAACATGCTATTGGTAAGACCACATTTGGAATACTGCATCCAGCTTGGGACGCCATGATATAAAAAAGATGTTAAGACTTCGCAGAGAGTGCAGAGAAGAACAATGAAGAGGATTAGAAGGCTGGAGGCTAAAGCGTATGAAGAACGGTTGCAGGAACTGGGCATGTCTAGTCTAATGAAAAGAGGGACTAGGGGTGACATGATAGCAGCCTTCCAATATCTCAGGGGCTGCCCCAGAGAAGAGGGAGTCAAGCTATTCTCCAAAGCACATGAAGGCAGGACAAGAAACAGTGGATGGAAACTAATCAAGGAGAGAAGCAATCTGTAATTAAGAAGAAACTTCCTAACAGCGAGGACAATTAATCAGTGGAACAGCTTTGCCTTCAGAAGTTGTCGGTGTTCCATCACTAGAGGTTTTCAAGAAGAGATTGGACAGCCATTTGTCTGGAATGGTACAGGCTTGAGCAAAGGGTTGGGCTAGAAGACCTCCAAGGTCCCTTCCAACTCTGTTATTTCTTCCCCCCCAAAAGAAACATGTTTCGCACTCTGAACCTACTTGGCAGGAGACATGAGCAAAGCGAGGGCCTGCATGAAGTGGAAGACACCAGATGGGTTACCCAGTATCTGGATCTGAAAGGAAAGGGGGGACAAGAGTGAAATTAGGGTGTATTTTTAAAAAAAAAAATAACAAAAAAGCACAAATTTGGAGCTCAACATCACAGATGCTGAATTTTCAGAATCCCGAAATTTTTCATTATACAACTGTATCGAGTAGAGCTAATCCTCAACTTACAATAGTTCATTTAGTGACCGTGCATTGAAAAAAATGTGACTTATGATCGTATTTCATAGTTACGACCTTGGCAGCATTCCCATGGTAGTGTGGATCAAAATTTGGCCACTTGGCCACGAACTCATACTTATGACGGTTGCAGCGTCCTGGGGTCATGTTTTGCAACCTTCTGACAAGCAACGCCCGTGGGGGAAGCCAGATTCGCTTAACAATCAATGTGACTAATTTAACAACTTGCAGTGGTTCGCTTATCGAATGTGTTAAGAAAAGTCGTAAAATGGGGCTAAGCCCAGTTACAACAAATTTCTCACTTCACAAAAGATAAATTCTGGGCTCGATGGTGGCAGTAAGTTGAGGACTATATCGGGAGCTGGGAGGGAGGTGGGGAATGTATGGGAGCCGTTGGCAGCCTGAGAAAATCCCCAGACCTCAAGGTTGTGCGGTGGGGACTTTCCGAAAGCGTGGACGGTTTCCCCCAAAACAAAAATGAACATGCTGGATTGGTGGATAATGGACAAGGGGTGGCCCAAATGGGGAAAGGGGGAAATTAATTATGCTGAGCCAGCTTTGCTTCTTCTGTGACCTATGTGGATCTATCCTGTTTCCCCAAAAATATGACCTACCCTGGAAGTAAGTCCTAGCTTGATTTTTACACGTGTGCCCAATATAAACCCTACTCCCCCAAATAAGCCCTAATTAAGATCCCGCTGGCTCCAGAGTGCACAGATAAAAATTAAGATGGGGGTGGGTGGAGCTGCCCTACGACTTACTTTTGGACAGTTGTAGCCAGGCCTCGCACACCCCGACACCTGCCTTGCCGGCCTATTTCTTCTGCAGCTGGCAAGGCTGGCAAGGCTTTCTAAAGGCCTCTGTAGCTGATAACAAAGAAGCTCTGGATCGATCCAGAGCTCTGTTATTGACTGCAGAGGCCTTCAGGAAAGCCTTGCTGGCTGCAGAAGAAGAAGTTCCTGAAGGCCTCTGACAGCAAAAAGGAGGCTGAGGGCGACACACACATGAGGTTAATCAGTGGATGACATCCCCCGAAAGTAAGACCTGGTGCCTATTGTGGTGGCAAAAAAAAAAAAGATAAGACAGTGTCTTATTTTCGGGGAAACATGGTATCAGTAAAGTTAATACTCTTGGTAAAATAATGTCCCAGGACTTGTTTTTGCTGTATGTGGCAACAAAATGGTTGACATGGGGTCATAACTCAAGGAGCACCTGTGTACGCTTATGAGCTGTCAACTCATTTTGGACTCCAAGGAACCACACAGATTTTCTTCACCACAAAAAGGCCACAGCTCGAGAAATATTTCCTTACATAGTAAATCAAGTTTAGGCACCTGAACAAATGGAGCAGCCCACTTGCTGACCCCAGCCGGACACCGGAGGATATGGTTTAAGAGGAAAAGGTGGTCTCCTGGAGAAGCAACCCTTTGCAAGATGGAGACCTGGAATGGAGGAAGACCGAGTCAAAAAAACAAAAACAAAAACCACGTTATTGTCTATGGAGATTCTCAATCCTCCAGGTCATGGTTGTCCCAAAGGTGCTTATTCAAGAGGCAACTGGACTTTCTGGTTTTTCTTTGAAGACATTTCGCTTCTCGTCCAGGAAGCTTGAAGAAACTTCTTGGATGAGAAGCGAAACATCTTATAACAAGAAAGCCCAGTTGTCTCTTGAAAAAGCATCTTTGGGACTACCATTGTTATTAATTTATTCACAATCTACAGCAGCATTGGGCTACCTCATCTAGCCTCACAAGCTAAGCAGGGTAAGGCCTGGTTAATGCTAAGATGGAAGACCAGTAGAAAACCCTACAGCTGTAGACTAGGCTAAGTCTGCAGCCAAAAGGACAACCCAGGAAATGACAGTAGAAACCACACCTGTGTATAGATGTCTATGGAGATTCAGGTCATGTTTTTTTTTCCCAAAAAGCAATTGGACTTTCTGGTTGTTGTTGTTGGTTTTTATTTAAAGAACTGATGAAGTGAAACATTTTTAAAGGAAAAAAAAACTCAAGAAAGTCCAGTTGGACTTTTGGAAAAAAACCAACAACCCTATTTTGAGATACTTTTGTAGTATTGCTGAGAAAGCACTGTGAAATCACCTGGAATTGAGTTAAAACTCACTGTGTTTAAATTAGGCACACAAAACACCTCACCCCACCCGCCAAAAAAAATTAAAATGCCAAAAATTCATTAGATTTTAAAAAAAACAAACCTGTAATTAATACTCAGGGCTTCCACAGTCATCTAATTTAATACCTATGGATGCTGTGTTTCTGACACACAAAATTATGCTCTGTACTTTTTTTAAAAAAAAGTACACAAACATCTGTAAAGTTTGTACACCCTTTAGCTCAAGGGTCTTCAAACCTGGCAAGTTTAAGACTTGTGTACTCCCAGAATTCCTGAGCTAACATGACAGGAGGAGGAATTCTGGGAGTTGAAGTCCACAAGCCTTAAAGCTGTCAAGTTTGAAGACCCCTGGCCTATCATCTATATCTGTCTATCTATCGTCTCCCCAACCAACCAACCAACCAACCAACCATCCATCCATCCATCCATCCATCCATCCATCCATCCATCCATATCTATCTATCTATCTATCTATCTATCTATCTATCTATCTATCTAATCATCCATCTATCCATCCATCCATCATCTATCACAAGGGTCTTCAAACTTGGCAAGTTTAAGACACGTGGACTTCAACTCCCAGAATTCCTGAGCTAATATGACAGGAGGAATAATTCTTGGAGTTGAAGTCCACAAGTCTTAAAGCTATCAAGTTTGAAGGCCCCTGTTTTAGCGATAACAGTGCTTCCCAGGTGCAGCAACCTGAAGGTGTGTGGACTTCAATTCCCAGAATTCTGCCCCCGCTGGAGACCCCTGGGAATTGAAATCCACACGTCTTCAAGGCGCTGAGGTTGGGAAAAATGATCTTCAGCAGGGGGGGTCTCCAAACTTGGCGACTTTTAAGACTTGTGGACTTCCAACTCCCAGAATTCCTCAGCCAGGAAATCCCACAACCCCCCCTAATCTAGAGTCTGCATAGTCCAGGGGTGGGCAACTATGGCCCTTTTATGAATTATGGACTTCAACTCCCAGAATTCCTGAGCAAGCCATGCTAGCTCAGGAATTTTGGGAGTTGAAGTCCACAAGTCATAAAGGGGCCATAGTTGCCCACCTCTGGCATAGTCCAACAGCCCATTCCCACAAGGACACGCTCTTCTTAAGCCAGCCCTAGCGCTTCATGAAATCTATCCTACTATTCCAGCTTCGAACTGTGACCTGCAGGGCCCAAAATGTGACCTGAAACGAGGCTCCTCACCAGCCTCTGAAGCCACAAGAGAACATCGCTCTGGAACTGTGGATCTTCAGTGAGTCGGCGGGTGAAGCTGAAGAGGACGCTGATGCAGTCTTTCAGGGACTCCAAGTCTGAGGGAGGGGATTCCACGGCCTTCAAAGCTGCAAAGAAAAAGAGGTAGGGAGAAACGGCTCCAAGAGACCCCAGGAGATGGGAAAGGCCGTCGTTTATGGGGATGCTGGTATCTTTTGAGATTCTTGGTACAAAACGTGACCCCCCGCGACATCCTATGAGGCTATCCTGTATGTTCTCCCAAGGGAACTGAGAAAGAAGGAAGATGCTCTTGACGGAGAGAAGCGGCATTTATTGCCGAGGAAAAAGGGACTGACTCGTGTTTAAGTTAACAACATCCTCTGATTACATTCAGAAGCAGCTCATTCAGACAGCTCCCTAATACGAGGAGGAGGAGGAGGAGGAAGAAGAAGGGGAGCAGGAAGGGGAGGAGGAGGAGGAGGAGAACTATAGGATCCTTGGTGCTCTCTGAGCTTGGTTGTTTTCTGGCACACATTTCATTACCCAACTAAAAAACATCATCAGTGCTAGAAGGGAGTGGGGTTTGTGGTAAGGAGGAGGAGGAGGAGGAGGAGGAGGAGGAGGAGGAGGAGGACTAGAGGATCCTTGGAGCTCTCTGAGTTTTTTTGTTTACTTGCAGGCATTTCATGACCGATATGTAACATGATCAGTGCTTAGAAGGGAGTGGGTTTTGTGGAGAATTCTCAAAGCAGGTAGTCCTCAACTTATGACAACTGAGCCCAAAATTCCTATTGCTAAGGCAATTATTGAGTTTTGTCCCATTTTACAGCCTTCCCCAACACAGTTGTTAAGTGAATCACTGCAGTCATCAGTTGCTAAGTGAGTCTGACCCCTCCATTGACTTTGCTTGCCAGAAAGGGTGACTGGATGATCCCAGCCAACTGTAACCATCATAAATAGGAGTCAGTTGCCAAGTGTCTGAATATGGATCAACGTGACTATGGGGACATTTACAATGCTCATCTGAAAAACGGTCACTTTTTTTTCCCAGCACCGTCGTAACTTTGAAGAATAGCCGCAAGTCGAGGACTTCCTGCAAAAGCAGTTTTAGCCTTCAGGGGAGTGGGGGGTGGGGTGATTTCATGGTCTGGTCCAGGGGTCTCCAACCTTGGCAACTTTAAGACTTGTGGACATCAATTCCCAGGGTTCCTCAGCCAGCTTCAAGATTTGTGGACTTCAACTTTAAGACTTGTAGAGTTCCTCCGTTCCAGAGTTTGTGGACTTCAAGACTCTATTCCAGAGTTCCTCAGGCAGCTTTTAGACTTGTGGACTTCAACTGCCAGAGTTAAAGTCCACAAGTCTTCAAGCTGGCTGAGGAACTCTGGGAATTGAAGTCCGTAAGTCTTAAAAGTTGTCCAAGGTTGGAGACCCCTGGCCTGGTCCACCGAGTGGAGCTGTCAGGTACCCACCTGCTGACTCCTGCTGCTGAAGGCCCACCGACCTTAGTAAGGGGGAGCCCCTCAGCAGGTCGTAGAGGTAAGACTCCACTTGCAAGCGGGACAACACTGAGGTGTACAAGTGGAGGGCGAGGATCTGGTGCAGGTGTTCGGTCTGGGCATCGAAGAGCTTCTTCAGTTCTCCCAACGCGCCTTCGTTCACCTCAACCGTCTGGTATCGGTGAAAGCCGGACACTTTACACTGATCGGCACAGACACCCTGAAAGAAGCACAAAGGCGGGGAAACACTCAGGATCTTATAGTAGATTTACTTGAGAGTGGGGGGGATTTGGACTGTTGTGGATTTATTTTCCAAACAAGCTCATTTTGTTGCATGTCCAGGACTACCATCAGCCAGGAAATTATCCAAAATGTTTTGTTTGTCATACTGTATATATCGATTGCATGGAGTGCCTCGCAGAACCATTTCAGGTAGAGGGGTTCAGTTTACTTCAAATTTCTGGAGGGGATTTATAAAAGCAATTGGCTCCTCTCGAGGTCTATGCTCAGGATACCGCGCTGAAACGAGCGGAATTTCTGAGAAAGCTAAATCAAATTATTGGACAATATTTAAGATGTTATGTAAACAATCCACAATCCAACTGGGCTGCCTTGCTTGCCGTTTGTGCTGAGGTTTGCTTATAATAATGCTGTGCATAGCAGGACTGGGTTAGCTCCTTTCCAAATTAATACTGAATTCCCATGCCTGAATTGTGGAGGGGGACACACACACACACACACACACACACACAACCATCCATGTCAGTTAACTGAATGGATGGACACAATTAAGGAGTCTTGGGGAAACACAAAAAAGGCTTTGAATAAGGCTGGGACGGTAAAAGGATCGGAGGCCCAGATACCCCGAGGGGTTCCTGCCAAACTCCTCACAACGGGGCACAATTAAGGAAGTGAGAATTATGTGACCTTTTTGGAGGGGTTTTTTAAACACGAGAAACAGAGGCGAGGAGCAACATTTTCAGAACTTGGCATAGTAATTTGTGGAACTCTCGGATTGGAGCTCAGCGTGGGGGCGCAGGGGTTAGAAATGCAGAATTGCAGGTTAGCTCTGCTCACTGTCAGGAGTCCGGTCCTTCCTGACTGGCTCAAGGTTGCCTTTTTCCATCCTTCCAGGGTCGGTAAAATGAGGACCCAGGATTGTTGGGAGCAATAGGCTGAGACTGTAAACCGCTTAAAAGCAGGGCTGGGCTGCTGGGCGTTCGCAGAGGTTCGGGAGAGCCCCTAGCTAAGATTCTACACGGTTCGGAAAATCCCCAAATCCCACTCCTGGCCGCCATGTCTGGTTGATTGGTTAGCACCTGCCTGCCTGTTTGGGATCCACATTCCCTCACATCATGAACAAGGATGCGTCCTCCCACCCTCTTCTCGGTGAAAGGACATCAAGGAACACAGAGTGAGCTTAGATCAGGGCTGTCAAACTTCTATCTGTTCTGTCTCACCTTTCTTCTTTCTCAAAAGATGAAAGAGTACAAACTCACACAAACGCAGGCAGGCAAGCTGACTCGGACTTCACAGAGTTAATTCTTTGGAACTGATAACGTCCTTGGCATTCCAACACGCTCTGCCTGCCAAGTCCAAACTGATAACAAATAAAAAGCTACTTACAGAAAATTGCAAGGCAGACCACGAAAATCATTCACAAAGAAAACCTGAAGTAAGATCAAACGTTGTCCTGTACAAAGTTCCAGCCGACTTTTATCCCCTGTGGGGTGTGGCTCAATGACTCAGCTCACTCTCTGACCCTCCCATGACTCCTACGTTGCTGCTCACGTTTCTCCCTATGACGCTGCTTAGGATCAAGCCAACATTCTTCCTCTTGACTCTCTGTCAGGGGCTGCTCCGATATGTCTTCCTCCTGATTAATCTCAGGCTGTTCCTCTTGGTTGTCTGATGAAACCTGAGGCATTATCAGGGAGGAAGGCATTGCCAGAGAGGAAGGTCCTGGGGAGGAAGGCATTCCCAGTTCCTCCTCCTCATCTTCCGAGTCCTCTTCCTCTAACAGCACAGGCTCAGGAATCGGAGCCACAACCTCTATCTATCTATCTATCTATCCTTCCATCCATCGCAATAGCAACACCACTTTGACTTATATACCACTTTCCAGTGGTTTCCAGTCCTCTCCAAGCAGTTTACAGAGTCAGCCTCTTGCCCCTAACAATTTGGGTCCTCATTTTACCCCCTTGGACGGATGGAAGGCTGAGTCAACCTTGAACCTGGTGAGGCTCGATCTGCCAAATTGCAGGCAGCCGGCAGTCAGCAGAAGGAACCTGAAGTACTACACTCTAACCACTGTGCCACCATGGCTCATTGGGCAACAAGAGCCTTTCATACACCAGAGCTCTGAACCCTGGGATTCAAATGACAACCAGTTTGTCTGAAACATTCCAGGGTTTCCTGCTTGAAGCAGGGAGGTTGGACTAGAAGACCTCCAAGGTCCCTTCCAACTCATCTGTTATTCTGCCCCAAACCAGCTTCCCTGAGCCCACCTGGGCACTCTGCTGCTTATCCCTGAAAGTCCACAGGCGCTCTTGGACACTTTCGCCATCCAAGTAGAGGCTTTGCAGTTTGGCTTCGGCGAGCAACAGCTGTTTCCGGCACCGGCAGTAATTCAACACCAGCTCATAAAACTCGTGTCGGTCCTGGTAGGCCCTGCTGCCAAATTCCTCCACGTAAGCCTCGACGTTCTCCAGCCAGGAACAGGGCTCGAAAACCTTCAGCTGCTCTTTGGTAAAAGGGATCGGCTCGGGATCGACTGGAAGCTCGGGATACAACCGCTCCCCGCGAGGCGGCAGCCGGAAGGCAAAATCCGTCAGTCCTGCGGATAACAACACCGAGAGATCGGGGTACAGCGTTTTAAAGGCGGGGGTCTCCACGCATGTTTTCACTCCCGTTTGGGGAACGGAGATGGGGGGGTGGGCCTTTTCGGAGGAAGGGGCAGCTAGAGGCTCTGTAGGACTACTATAGGGTGCACTTTCCGTGGGCGGGATGTTTTCTTCCAACGAGCCACAAGTCCTCTTGCCGTCAACTGCTCCTTTCTTGAGATCCTGCCCGCCCACCATTGCCGCCTCTTTCTCCTCCTGCAATTTTTTGGCACCCAGGGGGGGTTGCATTTGGGGAGCTGCTGGGGGTCCCTCATTTTCAGGAGTGAACACACGTGGTGGCACTTTGGGGTCCTTCTTCCCGGTTTCCTTCGGGGGGGCTTGAGGGCAAGGCCTGGATTCTGAAACGAGTCCTTCAGGTGCGCTGTTCTCCTTTAAAGCCTCTTCGTCAATCCTTTTGCACAAAGTCGGTTCGGTTGTCCCACTCTCTTTCTCTTCGTTCTTCTTCTTTTTTTCCTAGGGGGAATTAAAACAATTTTTAAAAAACAACAGCCGCCTAATCATAAGAAATAAGGCACAACAGAAAAGTCCTATTAGTTTAGCTGAGTTTACTTTATTCTAAAATACCGGAAAGTGACGAAACGGGGCTGGTTTTCAGCCTGCAAAGCTTGCAGGAGCCTGCAGGAGCCTTCCTCAAGCCTCTGGGAGGCCGAAAAAGGCCTCAAACCGGGCGAAAATCAGCTGTGAGGCTCGCACGTGTGTGCAGTGAGGTAAGTTTTCCTGCAGCTCGCAGGCCGGCAAAAATGGTTCTGCGTGCCACTTTTGGCACGTGTGCCATAGGTTCGCCATCACGGGAATAAACCAAGGGTCTTCAAACTTGGCAAGTTTAAGACTTCTGGACTTCAACTCCCAGAATTCCTGAGCTAACATGACAGGAGGAGGAATTCTGGGAGTTGGTCCACAAGTCTTCAAGCTGTCAAGTTTGAAGACCCCATGGAATACACCATAATTTTTACACGTGGGTGACTGTATGTTTAAGAAAAGCTGAAATAATAGATAAGACACACACACACTCCCCAAAAACCTGACCAAAACAAGATCCTTCCTTTCTCATCCGCCCATTTTTTCTTCTCCAGCAATTGGTATTTTCATCTTCATTTAAGCTATTGCAACAAATGAGGGGGGAGGAGAGAAAAATAGCTATTTAGCAACTTCTTATTATTTTGAAAGCTCTCCCCTCTCTAGCAAGACTTCCCTAGTTAATAAAAAAGCTTTCTATCACAAGACACACAAGTCAGCCCGTATGTGACAAGGAAAACAAATCACATGTTACTCAATCAACCTTGGTTTTAACTCTGAAGTAAACCCTGATGCAAAAAGGGTTGCACAAATCACCGTTGCTTTTGAATACCAAAAGGCTTCTGGGTTCCCCTAGGTACAGGCTTACAGATTACAGATTAACAGGGTTGGAAGGGACTTTGTAGGTCATCTAGTCCAACCCCCTGCCCAAGCAGGAGACCCGACACCATTTCCAAGCAAGTTTCTAATCTAGCGATTAAAAATGCAGACAAGCCTATGAACGAAGAGGGGAAACAGAAGAAAGCTGTTTTTGTGTCTTTTGCAACGGAACGGTGCAAATAGGCAGCTCTGGGAGGAGGGGGGAAAAAACCCACCCCTTCCTTATCCATGTAAGCTGCTTTTCACATGATTTGGTACAAGTGCCAATGATTTGGTACAGTTGGGCATAAAAGTCTGTAGAGATTTTCAGTCAACCATGACCTGAACGATTGAGAATCTCTACTGACTTTTAGCTGTGCAATTTGGGATGGACACCCTTCGAATGATGTGGGAATAGAATATAATGGAAGAGAGGAGAGGAGAGAGGAATAGGAATAGAATAAGCAATCAGAGTAGAGTAGAATAAAGTAAGAAATCAGAATAGAATAGAATAGAATAGAATAGAATAGAATAGAATAGAATAG